GAGAAGGATAACAAGGGCGATGCAGGTTGAGTATCGAAGTTGAGATGGTGCTCAAAGTGCTCACACCAGCGCTCGACTTTGGCCGAGTTGTCAGCAATAAACCCGCCGTTTACATCGCGAACAGAGTCACTCAGTGTAGAGGGCTTACCGCTAACTTGGCGGATCAGACGGTAGAGCTTTCGAGTGTCACCAACGTTCGAGGCCTGTTCCATGGATGTCGCTATTTCAGCCCAATATTGTTTCCGGTCATCCCTGGCCGATTTTGCCGTCATCTTCCGAAGTTGGCGGAAGTAGTCATCGTTGCGGGACCTGGCTCTAGCCGTCTGAGCAGACAACTGCAGGGTTCTTCCGCTGATCCAGTCACTGCGGCGTCGCTGGGTGTATCCAAGGATTTTCTCAGCTGCCCCATAGACTGATGTCTTCAGTGACGAATGCTGGTTACTGACTTCTCCGTCGGCTCGGGCCGTAAAACAGGTCCGGATTTCTCTGCTTAGGGCCTCGGCAGTGCTGGCTTGGCTGATTTTTGCGACATTGAGGCGTCTAGGACGTGGCATTTTTGGTGCGGATGAGAGGTGAACTTTCAAGCGTGTACGGACGAGGACATGGTCCGACCCATGGGCGTTACCAGTCTCGGCACCACGCATCGATCTGCTATCGTAAACCCAGCTGCGGAACCTTGAGCTAACTAGTAAGTAGTCAATCTGACTGGCCGTACGACCGTCGTTTGAATACCAGGTCAGCAGATGTTTTTTGCGATGCTGGAAGCATGTGTTGGTGACAAGCAGGCGGTTTCGATCAGCGAGATTCAGCAATCTCTCGCCATTTTCACATCGAGAACCAAGCCCAAAGCGGCCAAGAAGATGACTGGTTGTGGGGTCGCCAGGTCCAGTTGGACCATTCCAATTGCCAGCAACAATCAGCAGATCGCGGCGAGGCAGTCTTTCAACTAGCGCTTGCAACTGAGAGTAAAACGCCTCTTTATCGCGCTGTTCGGCAGCCGAAGTTGGTGCGTACACAGCGACGATGGAGATGTTCGTGAAGTGACCCTTCAGTCGCACGTAGGCCATCCGGTCATTTACTGGTTCCCAAGCAAGTAGTGCAAGGTCTGCATGTTGTGATAGGGCGATCGCCACACCGTGTCGACCAGAGGAATCGCGGGGACCGCTGTGGTACAGGGTGAAGTGGGATTCGACTCCCGTAGTACTGTGATCAGACATGTTGCATGAGGTTTCTTGGGAATTTCGAATACGGGCGGGTCCCCAACAACCGCTCGGATTGTTTGTTCGAGGTTGTCTCCTCTAGCGCTTTGGCTTAAAAACCTAACCACAAGCCAGCGGTGGCAAGTAAACTTATTTAATGGCGGTTTACGGTCGCCATGTCACAATGCCGTCATTGGGCTTTGCGGCATTTTATAAGGCTTTCAGCGTGCCAGACTTCAGCCCACCGCACCCTGGTAGCAATGTCGCTGCTGGTCCGCGACTGCTTATTCGTCAGACCTGGGTCTGCTTATTTCGCAGCTAACCTTCACTGAAGGTCGTCCCACTGTCCGCCACCTGTGGACGCGCCGGGTAGCCAGCAGCTAGGCTAACGGGCAACCCGTCTTCCCGGGCAACCCGTCTTCCCGGATGGAACCTCATCGACCACCAGATCGAATATCGAACGTTTGGCACGGATTATTATCGGCCAGAACTCGCACAGCGATAGAAGGCCGTAGTCATGACAACATGTCATACGAAAGTTGCACAACAATAAGGCACCCGGAGAGGACGGTATACCCGCTGAAATCTACAAGTCTTGTGTCGACACTCTGGCGCCCTGGCTCCATGAGGTGATTGAACGAGCGTGGGGAGACGAGGTTGTTCCTGATGACTGGGGCTTAGGCATCCTTGTACCTATCCTCAAGAAGGGAGATAAGACGAGATGCGAGAACTACCGCGGCATAAGTCTCATCGACGTTGCTGCGAAGATCTTCGCTATTGTCCTACTCAGACGATTCCAGGCTGTGCGTGACTCAAGGACGAGGCCCAACCAAGCCGGATCTCGTGCTGGACGTGGATGCGCAGATCAGATATTCCCTCTGAGGCGCATTCTCGAATTTCGCCATAGCTACCAGCAACTGACGGCCGTCTGTTTCATTGACTTTGCTGCTGCGTTCGATTCCTTCCATCGTGAGTCCATGTGGCGGATAATGGCGCTAGATGGTGTACCGGCAGAAATAATCGCCATGGTCAATGCCTACTATCGCTCCACCACTGCGAGAGTCCTGGTTCGCAACAATCTTTCCCAATCGTTCGGTATTCGGTCTGGCGTTCGATAAGGTTGTATCCTGTCGCCCATTCTGTTCAACAATGCTATTAACTGGATCCTCGGACTGACTGATCTCGACTATGCCGATGCTATCGCCTTACTCGCTTCAAGTTTTGGTGATCTGCAGTTTATGGTGTCACGGGTGAACGAGGTCGCTAAATCGGTCGGTTTATCCATAAACGCTGGGAAGACTAAATTGTTTTGAAGCTGCATCCCTGACCAGAAGGAGGCACCCCTCGGGATTGATGGCTGTCAACTTGAAGAAGTAGACAGTTTTAAATATCTCGGGGCGAGGGTGCTGCTTAATGGATAGAGTAAGGACGACTTTGTCTCCCGAATCGATGCTGCCCGCTGGGTTTTCTCAAGCCTTCGGAAATGCCTATGTGTCTGACGTGACCTCTCCATCGCCACTCAGATTCGCGTGTACCATGCATCTGTCCGGTCTGTCTTTCTCTACGGTTGTGAATGCTGGGCTTTGCGCGTGGCGGATGAGCGAAAACTGGAGGTATTTGACCACCACTGCTTGAGGACCATCCTTCGAGTGAAGTTCACCGAATTCGTCTCAAATGAGACAGTCCGCGCTCGCTGCGACAACATCGCAAGGATAGCTCAGGCCATCCAAGAAAGACGACCGAGGTGGTTCGGGCATGTTCTTCGTCGTCCACCTCAGGAGCTCAGTGTTACTGCCCTCGATCCGGCACCGTTGCCCCATTGGAGGCGTCGAAGAGGGGGTCAGTTCAAATCCTTGCTCGACACAGTTCGTCAAGACATTGAGGTGGTTCATGGGCGTTCGGTATTCGGTGTCCGTCGTTAGCGAAGGGAATGAGTTGAGCTGTCTAGATCTGCTGCCGCGGATCGTCACGCGTGGAGAGGTACGATTCGGGACATCATCGAGGCCGGCTAGATCAGGCATGATCGCAGCCGTAACAAGTACAAGTAAGTAAGTCATGCCAACTTTTCCGGCACACTGCCTAGTTCCATTATCCTTCACAGGGACTCACGATGGACGGAATCGAACGCTCTGGCGGAGTTAATAAAACAGCCTCCGTTAATTGCCGGTAGCCATAATGAATTTAGGGATACGCCACGGTGGGCATATCTCGACAGCGCATCCATGCCCAGATCGAAGCCGACTTTGGTGAGGTCTCGTCCCCGAGTTACGCGTCCTCTGAAATCACCCGAAAATGACAACAGCAAAGACCTTTACAGCAGCGTCGATGAGACTTATGCCGCGTTAGTTCCCGTGCTTTGTCTTATCCCCCTTCTCGAAGACGCGTACAAGGGTGCCCAAACCTCAGCCACCAGGAAAGGCCACATCTCCCCACGACTGCGCGACCAGCTCATGAACCATGTAAATTTCTGAGGGAATACCATGCGGCCTAGGCGCCTCGTTGATGCACAATCTCTGTATTGGGTCGGTTACTTTTCCCTCAGAGGGTTTTGGGAGTCCTATGGCAGTGTGGGCTGGAGAGAGATAAAACACCAATGTAGGGCAAAGCGAGTGCATAGTGAGTTGGTCACCGAAGTTGAGAAAGTGTTCGAAGTGCTCACGCCAGCGATTGACCTTGATCGGATCGTCAGCAATAAATCCACCATTCACATCGCGAAAGGTCACCCGGTGCAGAGGGCTTTCAACTAACTTGGCGTGTAATTTGGCAGAGTTTTCGACTGTCGCCAACGTTTAAAGCCTGGCGCATGGAGGTCGCTGTTTCAGTCCAATATTTCTTCCGGTCATCCCTAGCCGACATTTACATCATTTTCCGCAGTTGACAGTAGAAATCACCGTTGTGGGACATGTTTGAGCCGTCCGGGCGGACAACTTACACGGCTCCTCCGCTGATCCAGTCACTGTGGTGCCATTGGTTGAATCCAAGAATTTTCTCAGTTGCCACTCCTGCTGAGGACGTCAATGCTTGCCACTGGCTACCGCCCCCCATCGGCTAAGGTCGTAAAACGAGATTGGGTTTTTGTGGTGAGTTTGTGAAGGTTTGGGACATAAAGGCGTTTTACGAATGAAAATTTGGATGTAGATGAGAAGAGGTTTTTTAGGCATTTGTGAACGAGAGTATGGTCTGAGACATGGGTCTTACCACTTTCTTTAATGCGCATCAGTCTGCTATCATGAACCCAGATGCAAAACCCTAAGCCGACTGGCCGTACGGCCATCGTCTTAATACCAACCCACCAAATAATTGTGACTGTGGTAGAAGTATGTGTTGGGGAGAAGCATTCGGCTCTGATCTGCAAAATTCAACATTCCTTGGCCACTGTCGCATCGAGTGTCAAGCCCAAAGCGGCCAATAAGATGAATGTTTAAGGAGTCGCTGGGTTCCGTCCGGTCTTTCAACCCTCAAAATATATCGGGAGAGCACGGTGAAGGGGTTTGTCAACTAACTGGCAACTACGAGTAAAAAGTTTCTTTGTTACATTAGTCAGCAGCTGATGCTGGTGCATGCACGGAAACGATAGAGATGTTCGTAAAGTGACCTTTCAATCGCACCTAAGCCATTCGGTCATCGGTTGGTTTCCATGCAAGTAATGCACCGTTCGCTTGTTTCAAGAAGGGGCGATCGCCACAATATGTCTACCTAAAGAGTCGCGTGGGCCGCAATGGTCTAATGATGAAGTGAAACCTTACCCTCGTGATCTCGATTTCCCGAGCGCCTGTGTATATATGCGGACCCAAGGGGCAGATGCCTACGTTGACTACTGCGCGCCGTCAGACTGTGGGTACCAGGGCCCAGGTACGTTCGCACACTTCGGAATCCAATGCGAAGAGCCGCTTTTCTATTCAGCAGTCTACCTGGCCTACTATTCGTCGCACCAATGGACCAGGGTTGCAGATCGTGTCGGTCCCTGTGGAGACCGTAGCTGGGAGCTTAACACTTGCATCGGACGCTTAATGATGTTTCTCGGCGATTTCGAGTGCAGGCGGGTCCCCAACATTCGCCTTTATTTTTTTCCGAGATTTTCTAGACCTGCACTTTGGCTCAAGAATCTAACCACAAGACAACCATGGCACGCAAATTCGTATAATGGCGCTTCACGGTCGCCATCGGGCGTCGAACTTTACGCATTTCATAAGGCAAAAGGCATGCCAGATCATAGCCCTCCGCGCCTTAGTAGCATTATAACTGTCTATTCATCTGACCTGAGAGTCTGCTTATCACACAGCTAATCCTTGCTGAAGGCCGTTCCACCATCCGCCACCTGTGGATGTGCTGAGTTGCCCGCAGTTAGGTTAAGAAGGAACCCTTTTTCCCGGAGTGCACAGCCTCGTCACGGTAACCCTCTTTTCGATTTTAGCAAAGCTTCTCGACTGCATGGCTTTGTGACATCTCATCTTTTTAAGTAGTTGAAGGACATCGAACCGGTACTACAGATCGAATACAATTAATTTTCCTCCTCAAAGTCTTGATTTTCTAGACCCTAAGGAACCGAGTTGTAGTACTTTGAAATTCTCACAGCGCAGCCTGGTAATGTAGATGAAGTCTATCGACATGCGTGAGTCGTGTTTTTGCAGAGGACCACAGTAGAAGCTCTCTTGTCACTTCTGCTAGTGTCCCCTGTTGCTTCTTTACTTTCAGTTGTCCCAAGTCAAATCCTCTCCTGGTAGGGAGCTCATCTGATAAGGTCCCCCTTGTCCATCCGACCAAAAGCTGCATTCCGTATGCTTTGATTCGAATGCCTGTCCTCATGGAACATGCTTCAGAACTTGTAGACAGATAGATATTTGCCATTTGTGACCAAATCTAGCTTACCGACGCTACCAACAGGGTTATTATCTCGTCGTTTATTGTCAGGCGTATTGCCGCCGCACCTTAACACCTTAAGTATACGGAATGTTGGAGTTGTACTACGAGGTTTTATCCGGATGAAGTCAAGTTCATTTTTGCTTCTTTTTTTCAAGCAAATGCCCTGCTGGTACTACGAGAAAGAGGACCTTCTCCGGACGCCCTCATTCCTTGACGGAGTGCCAAATGACGTGGAAGACCGCTACCGCAGCGAGGGAGCTCGCTTCATCTTTGACATGGGCACCAAACTGCGTTTGCGTTACGACACCTGCGCCACGGCCATAGTCTTTTTTCACCGTTTCTATATGTTCCACTCCTTCAAGGCCTTCCCTCGGTACGTGACGGCTGCCTGTTGCCTCATGCTTGCTGGGAAGGTTGAGGAGACGCCGAAGAAGTGTCGCGACATAATTGGCACTGCGCGGTCCCTCCTGCCCGACCACTTGATGGAACAGTTTGGGACTGATCCTCGGGTAAGTAGATAATTTAAAACCCTCCTCCCCTTCTCCTGAAGTGTTGCGACCGTCAGGTCTGCTTGAGAGATAGATTTGCAGACTTGACCTATATCGATTCGATCCAAAGAAAATGGACAGAATTTTTGACCGATACAAGCGAAGAGGCGAGTTCCAGGAACTAGTTGATAAGTAGAAGCGATCGCTGGAACAAGAGCTTTATTCGCCTGACGTTTCTCAGTCTCTCACGAACCCATCGTCAGAGACAGTGACAGAGACGGGTCTGTCACTTTCTCTGATGATGAGTTTGAGCGAAAATCCGAAACGTCAGACGAACAAAGCTCTTGTTCCAGCTATCAGAATTTTTTGCGTTAATTTCCCAAATCTGCCCGGCGTCTTTCTGCCGACGTCGTGCACTTTGTTGCTTTTTATTAGAGCAACCTAATCTGGGGGTTAAAATTGAGTGGAGAAGAATAAATTCCGCTAGAACCTAAGGCGGAGAAGGGTCGAGTTTGGGTCGCTGCATTTGACTTGGCTGCTGCCTCCGTCCAATCTACCAGGTGTTTTTAAATTAATTCATTCGTTTTTGGACAAACTTGCTTCTGCATTATAATATCTCGCTAAAAGAAGCAGAATGTTAAGAAGTCGTTGGGTTTCGAGATCTCTAACTGCAAGCGGTCAGAAGTTGGATATGGGAGCTCTCACAACTTCCAGTAAAATTATTAAATACTATTCCTTCTTACCATTTTTGTCTTACAAAAATGTAATGCTTGTGGTTTAATACACCTGCATTTTTAAATCGAATATGGGCATCTGGCTTTACGGATGTCACGTATTATTATTATTATTATTATTATTATTATTATTATTACCTAGCAATACGCACTCTGGGTCAAATTCCAACCTCTTAAGGCTTCACAACTAGCTTCAGCTTAAAGAAGAAATGTGCGGACAAGTTAAGCGGGACGGATCTGGTTGCACTTCTCGAATTCATCTGACTGAATCTTGTCTACAGTGGCCTCTATAAGTTTAAATGGGCTAGATCGCAGTTGGTAGTCAGGGCCCGTATTACAGGTGACGGGGGATTGTTTATTGGGGCTATTTTGTGGGGTCCCATAATCACATCTGACCAATTTGGCTTCCGTTGTACGTTTTACGTTAGGATTAGGGTACTGGTTAATGGTTTCCGATTTTCGGGTTATGGTTATGCCTTCCGGCTTAGGTTTTCGGGTTACGTTTAGGGTTTGAGCGTACGATTCGGTTACAGTATTACGATTAGGTTTTTCAGTTACGGCTATGTCTAAGGGCTACTGTTACCTTTGCGATTTCGGTTAGGGTTAGGGTTGCCGTTAGAGTTAATAGTTAACGTTTAAGGTTGAGGTTAGAGTTAAGGTCGCCGTCCGCTTCCCCATTCCTGGCTACCAACTGCGATCTAGCCTTTAAATCTGAGCAGGTTTCAATACCTATCCATCATACTTTTTTCTCGCGTCTCTCCACTCTGCCGTATTCTATAACTTCCCAGATCCCGTTAATTATTGTAAAATAAGTCGTCAACGTTCGTCCTGTTTTTGATCGCGTTGAGGTAATGAAACCCTTTTTTTCTTGTCCCCACCTCGCAGGAAGAGGTCATGATGTACGAGCGTGTTCTACTCAAGACGATAAAGTTTGACCTACAGGTCTCTCATCCCTACAAGTACCTTCTTAACTTTACCAAACGCATCAAGGGTAAGTTGCTTTTATTTTAAAAAATACCATGTTCTGGTCCGATAACGAACTACAGTGACTCGATTATGTCAAATTCTAATTGGAGAGTTTAATTGGCTTATTGTTCTGGCTATGTCGGGGCATATGGTAGACGTTGTTACAGGGATGGTTCATTCCTTAGGTACTTCAGAAATGATAAACTTTGCACCAAAGTATGATGTGCGTGCTAAGGTTTTTTCTGCATTACGTCCCTTCTGCCACATATCCAGGTGACTCGGAAAGGATTAAACAACTGCTCCAGATGGCCTGGTCCTTCATCAATGACAGTCTCGCAACCACGTTGTGCCTTCAATGGGAACCCGAGATTGTCGCCTGTGCCGTGCTCTATTTGGCAACACGCATGAAAAAGTGCACAATCGAGGACTGGGAGGGACGACAGCCAGGCCAGCGGTGGTGGGAGTGTTTCGTGGAAAACATGAGCACTGAGGTGAGACCTGTTGTTGGACAGCGTTGTGTTACTTATTTTTATGAGTAGGCTTATTTTACTATCACGAATTTCAGTGGATGTGCTATCTGATGAAATGCTGACCGAATTTCTAAAATGTCTTCGATTAGGAAAGATTACTTAAATGGGGTTGTAATATTGATTATTGCACAACATAATCCCACGTTAGGATGCTGGCCTTTGATAGAGCTTCTTTCCGGCCGGTCGGGCGCACAATATTCTCCCTCGTACTCATTTGGCAGCGAATAACGTCTTCTTCCATTTTTTACCTAAATAAATTATATCAGTCGGTTTTAATAAGTTTCTAATCATGAGATTTTTAGGATTGTGAAATTTTCATTCATACGGCGTCCTATCTGCCCATCTGTCAATGCTGCTTGTTAAGTATGCAACGTGGTTCATACCCACTACAAAATGTTATGAGCCCGATTTGATGTCTTTTTATGGCATACCTGATTTTCCTTACCTGGAAAATATACAACCTATGGTTTGGAAACAAATGTAACGGGAAACTAGTTTCAGAATTTTTCGGGAATTGAAAAGATTTTTCAAAACCGAAAGATACTCTTTCTTCAAGCGCAAAATTTGAAGACGGCGTAATTTGGCGCCAAATGGATGCAATAAAGAATATTGTATTTATGTTTCCTATAAAATATGTTCGAGTATATAAAGGCATCGAAAATCACTTGGAAAATTTAGTACTATTTAGGTAGTCAAAGCTGGCGGAGTAGTTTTTCCAAGCGACCGGAAAGAAGCTCTTTGGAAAGCCGGAATCCTGACCTGACGGGAATGCCCTGAGATTACGCTGCACGGTATCTAGTATTACAGCCCAACCTAAGTAATCTTCACTAATCAAAAACGCATTTCAGGATTTCGGTTAGTACGTCATGAGATAGTACATCTACTGTATGCTCAGCAAATATAGCGGATTTTTAATCTTGAACACTGGCACAGCCCTCTCAAGGAGTTTTAGATAGCACACACACAGGTTGAGACTGCAGCGCAGGTTTGTCCACGCTTTTTTGCCCGAGTGCCCAGCGTCAGACCTAAATTGATCCCGATTTTCGCTTCTCCATCCTCCTGTTACCCATGTTTCCTTTATAATCTAACACTCGTTATTAGTTATTTAGTTTCTTCCCACTTTTGTTCTTCCTTCTCCTCCTTATGCATCCACACGCCCTTGCCAGGAGGAGGCAAGTTGGAATGCAAGCTCACTACGTTTTTCCCTATGTATCACAGGTTATGGAAGACATTTGTCACAAAATACTTGACCTGTATCCTGCCTCCGAGGGACCCGGCCCGCGACGCACCGATCAATCGGATTCCGGTGGGCGCAGGGAGTCAACCACAACATCCAGCTCTGACCAACAACAACAACAAACAACACATCAGCACAGCCTCAAGCGCTCCCGCCCGACCGGCGGTAGAGAACTGGGTGTAGAGGCCAGTCATCCGAAGAGTCATGCTCCAGTCTCCTCAAACTCGTCTACCCACCGAGCAACGGATAACCGTACTGAAGGTACGTTACTTGAACCCCAGGAGATCGCAGTAGACGCTGTTGCTATCATCGTACTGGAAGTCAGAGCACATGCGGCCAACCACCGTATAGCCCCATTGTATACATGTCTGACATTCAAATTCCTGTCACGTTTTGCATTTTCGATCTCAGAAGTATTCAGCTGCCTTCGTTTTCCCACTTTCGACACAGAAACAAGTTTCCCAATAATATAGTTCAGTGCGAGTGTGCTTGTAGTGGTTGATGACCACGGAGTCTCAGCATTCTCAGTACCTCTGGTGCATGTCGTACCTCAGGACAGCGACTACTTCGCTCGGAGCAGCACTATCAGCAGTGATTGGCAGCCATAACTGAGGACTCTAAATTCCTGTACGTATAATGGCTGCATAGGTGGCACGACATATCATACTTGGCAGCACAGGTACTGGTTAACAGGCACAGACGCCTGCTTCGCCGATATTCTGTCGCTGCGTGACACAACTGCGAGTTCGACTCGGGAGTTGTCCACCAGCTTTTCTGGCAGATACTCCCGTTTTGAAATTTCAGCTTTTTAATTTCCTCAGAAACTAATCGCTGACGTGGAGTAAATCAGGCTAGTAGGCTACAAAAATTGTCTGAAAATTGGCAAAGGAATCGGGGTTTGCCATCTTGCTGGCCGTCGGCACCACCGATACCCGTAATGGACTCATACGGACTTGTTATGCCCGCTTCTTGTTGGTTTACCGCTGAGCGTTCCTCTTTCGAGGCGTCCACAGGTAAGTGACCCAGATAACTGATTTGGTACAGTTATTGTGCCTTACTTCCAGTCTATTACTAACCTCGCTGGGCAGGATAAAAGCCCATATTGAGAATTCTGAAAGCTGACCCACCAGTTCGTCCGTCGCGAGTGACTGAGACTGCCACCGTCCTGGGGAGGGCGCAGCGGAGACTGGCGCGCGAATTTGGTTATACTTAAGTAGACTTTCACCGCACCTCCCTCACTCTCCCCGCCAACGCTTCTTATATTCAAATTGCGCAGCAAAGTCATGAGCACTAGAGAGGGGACGTCGGCGCAGCTACAAACTAGGCTGAAGCCATATATTCGCGTGCCACACACATGTCGGCCCCTAAGTCTCCAAGAGTCGCGGGTCTCACATGAGTAAAAGTGCCACAGAGTCCAAAGTGGAAGGGAGCCGCTCTAGCCTCATTCTCAGCTTGGCAGCCGACAAATTCACATCTTTAACATGCTGCATTTGCTCAAATGAGGAAGCGGGACGTTGGATTAGCTTCTCCCTCCCTCTCTCTGTTAGCTTTGCAGTCACAGTTTGGAGATTACATGGCGTTGTTCGGTTCAGCGGTCAGCCTCGCACGTTGCCTTTGGTACAAACACATTACGGCGCTTCGTCCGCTGACAAGTATTATTTCAGCTGTTGCCACTGACATGCACGATGGTGCATCCACCCTGCCTTGCTGCGATTGACAGCGTTGGTGCTTAGGATGTTGTGTTCTGGGCGATTTTCACGCAAATGTGCTTTCTTGTTGTTGCAAGTACCCACACCGTGAAAATCAAGGTCATCTTCCCAGGTAACGCTATTCACCTGCCTACCTGTGCATTGTAGTAACAGCGAACTACTAACTTTTCCGCCATCAGTATGCAGGAGGATTTTGTTTTTATTTAAATCATTGCCTTTCACTGGAAAGCATATGTGCTAACGGTCGCGGCCGGTTTCTACTCGCGAAGCGTTCTCCTCATTGAAGACTGCCGTTGCCCCAAAATCGCGATGCATGGGAACCCCCTTGACAATATCGTCTCATTTGACACATGCAACTCCAACATTTCTTAATTTTTTGGCGGCCACCGTAAAATTGACGGCATCATGCACTTACTTGGTTAGCGCTGCGGACCAAGGCCGTTCACAGGCTGCCAGAGCTGCTCTTTTCTCTTGGTTGATTGGAGTCGTTTTGTCCCAACGAGTGTGAACACTCCAGATTGACAGGGTGACTGGAGTAAGTGGCAAGAGTGGTGGGACCATGGGTTTTTCGTATTACATTTCCATGCACGTGGAGCGTTCTGCTGTCACAATCAGCCATGTAGACGCCACCAACAAGGTACACTTTCTCCCTCTAGGCTAGGTAAGCTCTCCTTCCCGGAATATATTTGCCTGGACATCGCAGGCTTCTGCTGCACCCACTATAGTTCACGATGAAAGTGCAGCCCTGGTTAGTTTGGACCGCCTAAGAAGTCGCTGTCTGTTTCTCTTAGAATGGGCTTCGTCTAACGTACATCACGCACGTGCTCGGATCTTGCATAAGTGACAGTTGCCACAAACTTCACGTTACATAAGATTCATTGCGGCTCGACCCCTCCAGTCCGAGTCAGCTTACCAGTTGACGATCTTTTGAGGCGTCATGATTGTTTAAAGCGAGTAAGTGAGGGTTTCATCGCCTTCGCCCATCCTTCCTTCCCCCATTTTGCCAGCGAAAAGTCCGAGTAAGTCTGACTGAAGGTAGGATCAATCACAGTAGTTGGTTTGACACAAAGCCTCGGTCCAAGCGTGCCGCAGATGCTGTAGCCTCCTCCTTACTGCACAAACAAGACTTCACACACACACAGCCCCACCAGTTGGAAAAGCTTGCCTTCTATTCCATCTGATTAAGCTAATAGCGTAAGCGGTTACTTGGGTGTGACCTCTGGGCAGAACATCACCGTGTGTTAGATGTCTAACTCCTGCTTGCCACAACTATTTTATAGCCTTTGGCATCTAACGTCCCTGATAAACTACTTTAAAATCTGCCACATTCTTCATTATACCTCCATTTCCTAAGATTCTACCGGTGTAGTTATTTTTGCCTTACTCCTATGCCGCTTTAAATCCTCTGGAAAGGTGCAAAATAACTTTAATGTACGAACGAAAGTTACGAAGTCCATAACGGACGGGATTATAACGTATTTGAACCGATGACGATCTCATCTTTCGACACTGAGGAGATCATTGTGTTCTCCGTCTCCTTATTCACAGCCCCCCTGGGTCGGGATAGCAATCAGCCTCCACAGTGGACAGCCAACCCCATCGCGCCGAGTGGAAGCGCCAACGATCTGCCTCCACCGCCCCCGCCACCACCGCCGCCACCACCACTGCCAGATTCGCGTTTTCCTCCCCACTCGCAGAACCCCTTCCACCACGGCGAACAACAGAACAGCCCCGGTCGCCTGCCCCCTCCGCCCCCGCCACCTCTCCCTACCGGCGCGCCGACTCTTTTTCCCTCTGCCCCTAACCTCCTTCAGTATACTCATCCCCTTCCTCCTCCTCCCCCCACCCACCATCAGTCGGCCATACCACAGCCGCTTCCAGTTCGCCCTGCAATCGCTCCGGTGAGTTTTCCCGCGGCTCGCCTCGACACAGTTGATACTGCATAGGTAGCACCATATACCATATTTGATAACACAGGTACTAGCCAAAAGCCCGGACGCGTGTTTTACTGATATTTTGCCGCTGCACGACTCAGCTGCAGGGGATTCGGCTCCTCAGTGGGTTCTCCCAGTGTTCATCTGATGGATACTCCAGTTTTGAAATTTCAGTCCTTTAGTTTCCTCCCAAAGTAATGGCTAACTCGGAGCAAATCTTTCTATTTGAAAGTTATAGGCTCAGACTGAAATTCGATGTGAATATTCGGGGCGAAGCCCCTTAGCCGCGGCGAAATAACCGCGTAAAATTCACAAACTGCCAACAGGCAGGCAGTAGTATACGCACAGGTAGCACGATATACCAGATTTGGCAGTACAGGTGCTATCTGAAAGCCCAGGCACGTGTCTGGCTGCTGTATGACACAGCTGTGGGGTGTTAGGCTCACCAGTAGATCCCCCGGCGTCGCCCGTGTGTTTTTCTGAGTTGCGAGTTGCAGTTATCAGCTGTATGTTTACTTCTATTAACAGGAGCCTGTCATCTTACCGGCAACATTTCCGACAGCCTTCGGGCCCGCGGTCGCCGCACCCCTACCGCCCTCAACGTGGTTTCCTGGACAACCGGGCCTACCAGTCGTCCAATCAGCACCAGCTCTCCAAGCGCTCGCTTCCACTAACTTTGCTGTTGGTGGCCAGCAGCAACCAGTATTTGATGTTGTCAATACGGGTGGCGGTTTTGTCCGGCCAATCCTATAGCCAATTTGGTCTTCTCAAAATTCGAATATTGCTTCAATAAAAGCATGAAATTATTTCTTTTGCACTACTTTAAGTTTAGAGATGCTCATTTTTAATAAGTATTTTATGCGTACCCGACTGACTCACAAGAAGAGGTTTATGAACGAATGGAAAGCGTTTGCTTCTTTAACGGCAAAAGGCGTAATGCCAGAGGCGTTTAACGCACGTTGTTATCAACGGATTTTGCGGCCATCAGGTTGTCTTGCGTTGTCCTGTCACGCATACTTCCGAAATCCGGCCAAAGGTCACTCGTAAGTGAGTGGGGGAAAGGCGAACTAACCACTTTAATCGGCCAATCACGATGTAGGTGGGCACACTAACATCTGATTGGGTGGGATCTAAATGGGTGCTGAGAACGAGCCGAACAAGTGGTGTTTGGTACCATTATTTGCAGAGACCAGCGAGTGTCCAGTGGATCCCTTGCAAAAGAGCCAATGACGAATTCTAGGAAGGGTCACAGCATCCGGTGAGATGCTAAACTAAAAGAGGCGACTGAGTTTCGAAAAGAAAACAAGGAATCAATGAAGAGTACTGACTCAGGTTGAGGACGCAGCACAGAGCCTACAACTGACGTCGAAGTCCATCGGCAATCAGGTACTATGTAGCGTCTAAGCAGTGAGATTAATCAGGGCGCTACAATCACCAGGCCCGATCCCGAGTTGTAGGAGAAGGCAGATGTCAGCGGAATGGGGGATTTGTTGAATGCAGGACCCGGAGTTGCCCTTCCTGGCGGCTGGCGAGGCCAGGCTGCACTTGGTAACAGTGTTGTGTTACGCCTGAGGAAAAGGGTGAGACAGGCGGCGGCAACTGCTTTTTTAGGTTTGCGGAGAACGCGTTCAATTGTTGTCCGATTGGTGTATTGCACGAGCCGAGGGGTGGCTTGGGTTGCACTCTTGACACCGAGTCCAGATGGGGGAGGAGAGAGTGCGGTAGATGCTGCGCAAGTCTACATGCTCTATAAACTAAACCACGTGCAAGTCATCGTATCTGCTCCATCTTGCTGTGGAGCACACGGTCTACATCGCTGGCAACGATGGTTTATGGCACTTTCAAGCACGTGGGATGTATGCCACCCAGCCCCCGTTGTGTGAAATTCTGGTGCTTGTGTCAGGGGGGCCAGGTCGTGCATGTGGCGCGCGCAGCCAAGGCCACTGTTTATGCCAGCCACCGCGCCCATTCCCGCACCTGTCAACTGACCGGTCCGGACAGTGACTGGGGTCTGGGAATGGGAAGCGACAGTGAGGTCGATCACTCAGCGCATATTCCTCACTACAAACAACCGTGCGCGCTTGAAGCTATCACGGCGTGTTAAAAGTCGTGGCTTGGAGAGTTGCCAACTGACGGGATAACTTGGACCTCGCAGCAGCAGGCTGTAATGACTGCTTTCTAATGTGGCCTTTATGGCGCTCCCACTCCGTGGAATCCGAAGCCGGTGTAACGGCACGCCTATGTGTGGCTTCGGCCGCGCCAGCTCTCTCTGTTGTTGTTGGTTGAAATCCTGGTCATTGGATGTGTGTACTAGGGGATATGGAATGGAACACCAAGGTGCGGGCTCGACCGTTCCATCCACCCACGCCCTTCACCACCTCCGGTCTTCTTGACTCTATCTTGACACCGAGTCCAGGCGGGGGAGGAGGAGGAGAGTGCGGTAGATTCTGCATTCACTATAAACATTAACTATAAACTAAATTACGTGCAAGTCAGCGTGTCTGCTCCACCTGGCTGTGGAGCACAGGGTCTTCATCGTTGGCAACGACGGTCGAACTGTCGCGTTTATGTGTGTGTGGCACGCGCAGACGAGCTCTTTTCAGCTGTCAGCCACCTTTCTTAGCATCTGTTGGTTGACCGGCAGTGGGAAACGAGAGCGAAACCAATAGTTTCAACGCATATTCCTCGCCATAAACAATCTGACGCGCCTGGATCTGCCACAGTGCACTAAAAGTCGTGGCTTGGAAGGCTGCCAACTGACGGGATAACTCGGACCCCACAGTCAGCCCAGGGTGTGTTCGTGTGGAGTGGCCTTAGTCAGGCTGCAATGGTTCCTTAATGTGGCCCTTAGGACGCTCCCACCCAGTGATGCATGATACTGGGCAGTGTACGTTGTGGACCACGAGGGTGTGGTGGTACGCCCAGATGCGGGTTTTCGTTGTGTCAGCAACCTGAGCTCTCTTCCGCCTCCGGTCTTTTTTATTCTGTCTTGACACCGGTTCCGGGTAGGGGAAGAAGAGCGAGTATGTTAGATGCGGCGCAGGTCTACCATCATTGTAAAAATTTCGCACGCGTCACCGTTCCTGCACCTAGTGGACATCGTCGGTCACGAGGGTTGAACTGTCATACGTGACGTACGACGCTCTGCAGTCAGTCAAACTCATTAAAATGCAGCCACCTGAGAGTGTCAAAGTCAAATCCATGGTAGGAAATAAAGCAGCAACACTTATAGGCCCAATTAGCTTCTCTTCCTCGCATGCCCTGAAGGTGGTCCTTAACCGTGCTCAAAATACCGCCCTGATATCCGGCATTGCCAGGATTCTGTAAAAGGAAAGTTGTCCTTCCTATGCAGCCTAAACCGAAATAGCTCGCCAGGTCTGCCATTGCTAATCGACGTCCTTAGATAGACAGGGCAGAACGTGAACGACGGATAGATAAGTTATGGCCGACTGCAACAAGAACAGGCAACTATGATGTCAAAGGCAAATAAGGCACAGGACTTCAGTTCACCACAGCATGTTCAACCCCCTCCAGAAGTGTCTGTGGTACTTGTGGAATTCGGCAGGAAAAAAATAGGCAAACTGCGAAACGCCTTCACGTTATTCAGTGGCCAACAACAAATGCAGAGGATGAAGGACTGACATCTTTGAAAATACTGTGGTACCCATAGACGGCACTATCTTAACTAGGCTTTTGTGACACTGCCGAAATGGCGCCAATCAAAAACGAACAGACGGATAGGGTAAAGATAGAACAGGAGATAGTGCAGTCGTCAAACCGCCCGCTGTTTAAATACGAAGTACTAAAAAACCATGAATGTGGACGACCTGGCCACAATCACGAATTGCGGGCCGCACTGATTTCTGCAGTAAATATTGCAGTCTGTTAAAGCGATTCATCTGACGACTACTGTATGTAGGTATGAAGAATAGAGTGTCGTTGGGACAATCTACACAAAATCGCACCACATTACTCTGGTTTCAGTAAATGATTCAAAGACCGGTAAACTATCTTGAATGGCTCGCATTACGTGGGAGTAACAACACCGAAACTGCTGATGGAAGTCAGAAATTAAACATCGTTCTACGCGAAAACTGCAGACATAATCTGAAAATACCTATAACCATGGGAAACCCATTTGAAAAAACTGACCAACCAGTACTGCCAAGCAAGAAGGGCACTGAAACCCTCTGTGCTCCACCAGAAGGTCAAGTTGTTCCTGCTTCAGCCCACTCACGAACTCATCAATTTGTGCACTTTTAAGGCTGGACATTGATCGCAGGGCCGAAGCAAGGGCTGCGTCTTTGAGTTTCTGATTCTTGAAACCGATCGGGGCATTTAAAGAATCCAACTCAGCGCCTCGGTATTCCTCCCACCGCTGAGCAGATTCTTAACATCCCGCTCATTAAAAGAAGAAATGTCGTCAGTTCCGTCATCTTGGAAATAAGTTTTCACGAAGCTATCGACATCTTGTCACCAGTATTGACCTCCATCTAAGAGAGGAAGTGAAGTCCTGTTGTGGCTTCACGTGACGGTCGTAGTAGATCGCTAGCTTGCCTGCAGGTGTAGACCACGCCTAGCGTCCATTTGCTGGCACCCAACTCTCACAGATGGCTCCCTGAAGTTAGGCTCTGCCTAGCGCCCACACCTCGGTAACCGCCTCGACCGGCGGACCAAACCAGGTGAGGATATCCGTGTTTGCATCTCCGCATGCGGTAATCTCGGCTTTATTGGCCGGATGGATCATTGCATCGGCACCGTCGAGTAGAGGTTCCGTCTGGCACGCCGTAATAGACCACAAGTTACGTGAGCTCCCAGGTAAGCGAACGTTGTACTGCTGCCTGCGCTTCACTTGTTCTTGTTTGCCTGCTCTCTCTGTTTGTGTTTGAAAACTAAATGCTGCTCTGTTGCTTTTGCTTCCTGATGTTCTTGGCTGTTTGCTTTTTGTCTGCTTGTTCGTGTCCGTTCTTACTATAAGCCAAATGCCGTTCTGTCAAATTTGTCTACTCGCCGATTGTATTTCAACAACAAATTAGCATAGAGAAGGACGGGAATGCTCTGCTTCCCGTCCCTCTACCTTTCCCCATCTCCTCCCCCCCCCCAACCAAAAGTCCTACGGCGATGTCGTAGGCAGGCTCAGGCTATCTCGAGGCGTTCTCCCACTAAACAAAAGTAATGGTCCATAGTGGAGTTCGGCAGCCGTCTGGGACAACTGAGCACCCCGATCTAGGGAGAGTACTGTTCATCCCCTCGAGGGGAAGGGGCTAGAAAAGATGGTTTTAATAAATGCTGGGAGCCATGCCGTCTGCAAGCTGACCGTGGCTGCAGACGCAAACTTCACGGTCAAAACAATCAAAACAAAACTCTCTTTCTTACCTCTCCTCCTACCGTCACCCCACTCGTCAAACTGGTGGAGTGAGTCCGCTCACTCTGGAAGCCTGGAAGTTCGTTCCCTTATATACAATCCCAGGAGCAGCAGACCTGAATGGAGTGCGGCACCGGTGGCTCGGGAACTGGCGCACTACGAGGAGGACATCGCAGCACTCAGGGAGACCCGGCTTTCTGGACAAGATCAATTGGAGGAGGTGGATGGCGGCTACACCTTCTTATGGAACGGCCACCCCAGGGCAGAGCGACGGGACGCGGGTGTCGTCTTTGACATCCGGAACGACATCGTGGGACTACTGCCCAGTTTGCCGCAGGGCATCAACGATCGCCTGATGAGCCTCCGCCTGCATCTCCAGGGAGGCAAATTGGCCACCATCATCAGCGTCTACGCTCGGCAAATGACCAGCCTTGACGCAGCAAAAGACGAATTCTACTAGGACCTGCACGCCGCCTGGCGTCTGTGCCCAAGGCGGATAAGTTGATTGTCCTTGATGACTTCAATGCCTGCGTCCCCATGCTACCTGGAGACGGCCGCCAACATCAGGACTGGTTTGATGAAAATGACGCCGCCGTAAGCAACCCGCTCACCGAGGAGGACCGCCTGCAGAAAGCCTACGTCGCCTGACCCACCGACAGCAGCAAAGAAGCCTTCCATTGTAGTCTCTGCCTTGTGCAACAGCGGCTGCGCGAGATGCAGGACGCCTGGACGGCCCGTAAGGCCGAGGCGATCCAAGGGTAGGTGGACCGCAACGAATGGAAGAACGTCTTCTCCGCGATCAAAGCTGTCTACGGTCTTCCAACCAAACTAAATGCTCCGCTTCTCAGCGCCGACGGCAGTAACCTAGTCGCCGAGAAGATACAAATTCTACAGCGATTGGCCCAGCACTTCAGGAGCATCCTCAACGGTCTTTCCCACCATTTCCGACGTCATCATCGCCCGCATGCCTCCCGCCATCTCTCCGCGAAACCGTCAGGGCTGTGCAGCAGCTCTCCAGAGGTAAAGCGCCCGGATCGGACGCGATCTCTGCCGAGATCTGCAAGCACGGTGCCCCCCAACTCATGAATCATCTGACGGCGCTCTTCCAGGAGATGTAGCGTCAAGAAGTCCGGCAGAATTTCAAAGACACCACAGTCGTAGATATCTATAAGCGGAAAGAAAACCACCAAGTCTGCGACAACCACCGAGGCATTACCCTAACCGCGCGTTTCGAATATGCTTTCAAATTTTTGTCTGCCGAAGAATGCGCATTCTTCGGCATTTCATCCTTTTGGATACTCTTGCAGCCTGCCGGCGTTAAGGATTGGACTCGAATCTGCAATTTCACCGTCCTTACAAATTTAAAACATGACTTTCGCAGAACGCGGACCTCTGCTATTCCTAGGTTCTATTGCTGGCGAACCCAGAAGGACCGGTCTTCTTGCGAACGATACGCCCAGAATAACTTCTAAATTTTGAGCCACTCAGTGCACTTGTTCTTAATTTCTTTTATCTGAAGTTTCTCAGTCAGTTGAACTTCCTAGACCTTGTTCTGACTATGGCTGTCTGCGACTGACAATCATATGGATGTTATAGGGTGCTGGACTCCGTTACGTAGAGACGTGAGATGTGATGTGACAAAAGGGGGTGCGCGGAGTGAGTGTAAACCCCCCGGACCACCACAAGTCGCTCGCCCCCCTCTGGCATTGAGGCCATTGAGCAAACTTCACAAAATATTACGTGTACTAATCCTTTGCCTTCCAGCTACGTCAGGTTTGGCAGGTAAAACAGCACACTATAAACTCCATATAGACCAATGTCATTTCTCTGCGGACAGACAGGATCTAGCAGATGTGAAATGTCAGAATGTTCGCTTCGACTGTACAGAATTTCTTCCAAAAACTGATGATTCGAATCGTTCTGCGCGCTGTAAACATTTTAGCGATATCGGGTTAAATGCTGCATTGTTGGAGTGTAATTGAATTTCATCATAAGTTTCCAGAATACGTCGCACATGACTGTAAAGAAGGTTTATGCCAAATCCACGACTTTTATATGTAGTTTGGTTCCTATGTGCCACAGCATACCTTATGTATAATATGATTAGATTTTCGTTCGTCTCGCTAAAACACCAATTCATCAGAACCGTATCGCCGAATGTCCATTTCAGTGGAACCATTTTCAACTTCAAGCTAGTAGACGACGCCTGCGACTTGCCGGATTTTAACAAGACAGTGCAATGTCTATTAACTAGGAGGATAATGTACAAGTAAAACTTAAAAATCGTAGAACGAGAGTTTTTTGAATGATTCAGGTCAAGATGACTTAAAGCTGATGGTGTGCCGAAGAGTCGATCATTCCTCCGCCAACTGCGCTCCCTGTTACGATGACCGGCCTCTCTCTCTCTCTCTCTCTCTCTGCGATTACCTTCCGACTCACATTTTTCTTCGTCGCATCGTCCAATTAATTTTTGGACATCTACGTGCCACAACTACAACAACCATTACCTAATGTCTTTACGCTTGAGTTCAGCATACGAACTTCAGAAAACTTACTTCGACCATCCTGTGTATGAAGAATTTTTTGAATGTGGGTATGACAATACCGACTTGTTTACCTTTTTGTACATTTCAGGAAGTTTTATTCGTCGTTAAAGACGGTCTTTTAAGTCGTCTATGTCACGCTTCCTATTGATTGCATTAACTTGACAGTTCATAAATTTAAAGCAAGCAAGGACAGCAGAATTTAATGGTACCACAAAATTTCGCGACGGCTTCTCAACTTCAGCCTGCCGTTACATAACACAAATAACAAGTGAGAAAGGTACAGAGGTTTCAAATTCAACATAGAAAATCAATGTAAAACAGCAAGCTCAACTTATACTGCCCGTATACTAATCAATAAAATGATAACTTCAAGTGCAACGTAGGAATGAAAATCGGGAAGAAAACATGTCGAGGGATTTCGAACTTCAAAAGGGCTCAGGGCTACCAGGGCAAGCTGAGGTTGACCACGCGGTCTAACTGTTAACATAGGTTGGGTTTCTCCCCCCGTATATAGGCTGCCTCCAGATAGCGCGATAGACGAGTTGTTTGCCCTCGAACTAATGCTCGAAAAGACGGTTTGGGGTCTACCAAATGGTGACTATCAAGGAGATGTTTTGTAATAGAAGACCGTGGAATCTTATTTTCCTGCTTTAGAAGCCATTTAGGCAGGTGCTCAACTGCTCTGGCTGCCAGTTGCCTTTGCGTTCGCCCAATGTACTTGCATCCACAAGCACATGTAAATTCATAGATACAATTTGACGTGACGTGCAATGGCATGGCATCCTTCGCCCGTGGAACTTCGATAGCCTTAGTAGGACTGTAGAAGATGAGTTCAGCTGAGTTGTAAGTTCTTTCAATAGCGCATCTCAATCGCCGCTTGACTGTATTAGAGATGTTGTCGTCCTTAAAGGGTAGGGATATTATAACGGACTTTTTTGGAACAGATTGCTCCGTCAATTTTGGACGTAAAGTATTGCTGTACTTTTCGATGAGTCGTGTTGGATATACCCGTTTAAGCAGGGCTGTATTTAGGCAAGAAATTTCATCATCCAGCGTTTCAATAGAGCAAATCTTTCTTGCTCTTTGGAATAGAGTATAAACCAAATGTCGCTTTCGTTGTATAAGCACAAAGCTCAAGAAGTGTAGGTATTGGCCTTTCCATGTATCTTTGTGGAAAACAGACCGCCTTATTGAACCATGTTCCTGTCTAGTCATGAGAGCATCCAGGAAAGAAAGCTTGTTGCACTGCTCCTTTTCCATTGTGAATCTAATCTTAGAATGGAAACTTTTCATGGCAACAAGTAGGTCTTCAGCTTCATCGTCGTTATCAACAATAGCAACAATGTCGTCTACATATCTTTTGTACAGTGTTTTCCTATTCAATTTTGCTGAAAACTTGTCTTTTAATTGACCCATAAAAATGTCGGCGACGGTTGGACCAAGTGGACTTCCCCTTGCCACTCCATCAATTTGTCTGTATAGCTGTCCATTGAACAGAAATTGAACGTGTTTCGTGCAAAGTTTCAACATGTCACGTAATACTTCGGGTGAAAGTCGGGTTTCAGACGCATGGATGCATATGATATCGATAGTCTCATCCAGTGATACATTTGTGAATAGTGATACAACTTCCAAGAACATCATGGTTTTGTTGGAAATGTTCTGATGCTTTATTTCTTCAATAAAATGGAAACTGTCTTTTATTGTGTAAGTCGAAAATGGGTGTCGTATTGGTTCTAATTCCTTGACAAGCCACTGTGTTAGTCTGTGTTGGGGTGAATTAGACATAGACAGAATTGATCGTAGAGGCATATCCTTTTTACTTTTCTTTGGCAATCCATATAGTCTGGGGATACATGTGCCTCTTGGTTTCAAGGATTGTGCGGCTTTAGCATCAATCAGATTTTTGTCCAACAATTGTTTAATTATTTTCCAGGTGGATTCTTCCACTGCTTTGGCTTCGTCTTTCACTGGCGTTTCGAGACGAAATTTACTAACGTCGTTTAAAACTGATTCCATTCTAGTTAGGTAGTCTCTCCGATGATGAATGCCAACTCTGTGGTCTTTATCAGGCTTGGAAATTTAGACCTTGTCGGGAATCCTTATTTACTTGCACCGCATCTGGTGTCAGTGCCAGCTGGCGAAATGGTGGTCACGACTCCCCATCGAGCGCTCCAATGGAGAGAATTTCTCCCTAATGGGGGAAGACTGTGACAGCCTTCTGTGTGAATGCATAAAACACTAATTTATCGACATTCTGAAACTAGAATTCAGGCATACCATTTTCGGCTATTTTCATACCTTGAAGTGCGGAATGCTGAGCCCACTTTCTCACTTCCAGTAAAAGTTACCAGCCTTGCCCTATCGATACAGGGAGTTTGATTATATGTGCTGCGACTTTGTACTTGAAAGCCGTATTTCCGCAAAAAGCATCTTTACCGACCCCGACCAGTTGAGGAGTTTAGAACGATGACTGAGGTAGGAAGAAACAACAAATATGTAGGGCTATAACCTACTCAATTATATATAGTAGGTATTCTTTTAGGCAACGGATAGTTGGATGCCCTCTCCCGATTGTTACCATATCGGTGCTATTTTGCGTTGTCATTCTGTTCAGCTCCACAGGAATTGTTGGATATTCCTATCAGTTTTTGAGGGCTTTTCAACTGTGTCAAGAACCGAGGAAAAGTAGACGATTGCTTTTACTGTACGGTAATGATCGGCTTCGAAGCAACGCTCGAACTCTACACTTTCTCGAGTATCATGTTTTATTTCGACAGTTATGGATACACGGAAATCAAGGGGGAAGGCTTATCGTTTCTGCGACCGCAAGGTGTGCTCTTGGTCACTTGTAGACCCGTGTTCTATTGCTAAAGTGGATACAGCTACGGAAGACACAACGCTCTATTTCGCCGAATGGTGTATAGTCAGGTAAGGGTCACTTAGAATCCTAGTGCGAGTTCACAGTGTCAGGCCAATTCTCTATTTCTGAACTTAAAAAAACCTGTTGAATCGATATCAGATCCCTATGAGTTGACCTTTGTAACATGAGCAGCGCATTAATAACTTAAAACACCCGTTCGTATGGATGCAGTATATATGCTCCTAGTCAGTGTTGTCCTCTTCTTGAACGAAGTGACACAGATGGATGAGTCAGAACTTCGGCATTCATATGTTGATTGGGTCTGATCACTTCTATATTTGCGAAGTGCAAACAAGTAGTGAAACGATAACGCTCTATTTTAACATTCGGCCATATCAACAGCCGGCTAAAATGTGAGGAGACTGTCGCAGTAATGGAAGACTAAAGCAATGAGAACATTGCCTAAAATTATGTTAATACTGAGCGGCTAAGCCGACTTTTATATCCGTTTTCACCATTAAAGCAAATTTTAACTAGGCCGACTTTCCTACGGGAAGTATTGACAGACTGTAATGGAAAGCACAGATCTCTCAGAAGAAGGGATGAGGAAGGAATCACTTGCGCTTAACGAATTCAAGTGTAAAGTCAATTTGGCAAACACGTGTTTTCGTCATCAGGCCAAATCAGTTACACAGAAATTGAAAACATGCGAAGTTCACAGGTTTTATAAGTGAATCAGGAAATTCAGGTGTCTGAATTTGAACCGAATATCGACAAATATGCTGTAGAAGCTTGCTTTCGAACTCTCTAGCCTGCCCTCGCATATTTTCCAGACCACAATCGTTCAAAGCATTACCCCTTCTGATCAAGAGTTGACGTATATCAACCCCCTTCAAAAAGATAAGTCCAGAACAAGTGTTAATAAATATAGGCCGTCGAGCGTAACATGTATTCATCACAAAGTTAGGGCAAAGATCATGAAAATACTGCCATGAAGACCCTCGAAGAAAGGACTCATCTGGCTTCTTGATCGGCCTATCGCAAACTGCGTGCACTGGCGGGGCAAAATCAATGCCAGTGCCAACTGCGAGTGGAATACCTCAGGACTCCGTCCTCGGACCCTTAGCTAATTTAACCCATGTCAGTGGCTGCATGACAGGACTGGACTTCAGGGGATTTATGTTTGTAGATGGCACTAAAATAACGCAACTGATCCATTGCAATAATGATTAAATCAGGGAGTACTTTACAGATTATGAAAACTGTTTGATAACTGGTCGCGCAAGTTTAATTTGGAAGTGTCGAATTGTGATTCAAAACAAAAGAGGCGAGCTCAAAGGGCGACTCTCAATAATATTTCCTTGATGAATGGTTCCTGGTTAGTATAATGAAAGAAAAGGTCTTTTGAAGCACCATTTGTCATCTTTGTAACCGTTCTCACCATGTGTCAGGGCTGGCAAAGGGGTGACCGATGTTCTCTTTGACATTAAAAGGTACTCATAGTTCGATCGTCACATCCGATGATGTCCACTATGTGTTCCAAAACAAGGTGAAGAAGGAGCGGTGACTTACGCTTGAGTTAGTTTATCGTGAGAGTAGGCTTGCTCAGCATCTGCTGCACACCCCTCTCCCCACCTAGACCCCTTGTCTAGACAGAGTCGCATGGAGAATGAGTCGAGAAACGCACTTCCCACATGCGTGCGAGTTGGCGACTTATTCATTGTGTAATGTGGTGATGGGAGATGTTGTCGTGCAGGTACTGTTGGGGGAAGGTTTGATGTAGCCGGCGGTTCTCTACCGGAGGTTTTTATGAATGCGCATGAGAGTGAATGTACGGGGGCAGTGAAGGCAGTTGGGGCAGTTGCGATGGATTGCTGCTCCAGGCACTGGTTCGCCAGTCATCGTGCGATGGGTTCGCAAATGACCGAACAGGCCGATGTATGAGGTGACTGTGCGATTTCACTGGGGACCGGTATGAACGGAGTCCGCACTACTGGATGTGGAAGTGTTGGTGGTAGTGGTGGCAGAAGGTGATGGGACATTAGAAGTCGTCCCATCGGGTGGGGGGAGTGTGTGAAGTCGTGGCGGTGGTGATGCTGGCCGCTGCGGTCGATGCGGACAGGGCGGATGGTGTCTGCGGATGCTGGCGAGGGGCAGCGACAGTGTGATCGGCGGTGCCTGGAGTAGCGGTCGGCGCGGGATTTGCGGTAGGGGCGGGAGTGGGAGAAGAGGTGGACGTTGTTGAGTTCATGGCCTACTGGGTCCGAAGGTGTCCAACGAGACCGATTTGTCTGCGGAATGACCATTGGCAGCGCGGGCATGTTGGAAGCCGTAGATAATCGGCACTGAGGATGCGAGGCACCCGTGATTTACGATCCTCCCCTTTGGCTTTTGCGGCGACGATCCGATTTGTTTCGTGGGTGCCCGTGCCATTCTTGAATTCTCGTCTCCAGGCCAGTCACTTCCAGGTGAGATCCTCCCAGGTCTCTGGATTGATATGTAATCGCTTAAGAGAGTTCTTCAACATGTTCCTGTAGCGTCGTTTCTGTCCACCGGTAGCGACATCACCACAGAAGATTCGTCTCAGTATTTTTCATCTAACGTAGTTGCTGTTGCCTCAATATGGCGTGGATACTGAGGATTTCGGTCCGTCCTGGAACTTCCGTGTCGGGGGTTCTGTCTTGCCATCTAAGCCTTTGCATTCTCTGAGGGCAGCTGAGATTGGAGCGGTTGGGTTTCTTGTCATGGCTGGAGTAGACGGTTCGGGTCTTCGTTCCGTAGAGAAGTGTCGTCAGGACGACAACCTTGTGCATCTTCAGTTTGGTATTCAGTTGGTGGCGTTGCGATTCTACACGGGGTTTTACAGTCAACCGAAGGCTTAGCCGGTTTTGGAGAGCCGGTGGGCCACTTCGTCGCCGATTCTGATGCTGCGAGACATTGGGCTGCCAAGGTAGCTGAAGTTATCCGCGATCTTCAGTGCGGTGCCGTTGACGCGGATGCGAAGGACACAGTATTCAGTGGTCGATAGCTGTTGAGGCATGACCATCTTCTTGTCTGATGGATGATCACCTTCAATCCAAAATGGGCACAGCTGGAGGTGAAGAGATCCTTGCTCCGTTGCATGTCTTCTTCGGCCGTGCTGTTGAGTGCGCGGTCGTCAGAGAGGAGCCGACCGTGGATATAAACTGTGGAGAGACGCGTCAGGGCCTGCATTCGCCGGCTGTTGAGAATGTTCTCGTCAGTCCTGTAATCGATACGGATCCCGGGGCGTTGATCACGGTAGACGTCAATCAGCACGGCAGAGAAAATAAGACTGAGACAGGACTGCGTCCTCGCACTTACCCTCTTCATTCTATTGGTCACTACGAATGCCTCGGAGATCGCGCCGTTGTCCGTGACGCGCGCGCCATTTTCCCATCGGGGAGCTGAAGCCCCATGTGCGTAAATTGCTCGGGACAGCCGAACTTCTGCCCGATTCTTCACAGTCCTACCCAATTCACCTTGTTGAGAGTTTTCGTCATATCCACGAAAGTTGGTGTAGAGGTAAGTCCGCATCTCCTGGAACTGCTTTTCTAGATGGCGGGCGACAAAGATCAGTGGTCGCACACTGTCGCCGGAATCCGGCAAAAGTCCTTGCTCTAGGTGGCCGTTGAGATGACTGAGGAGGATGCGAACGAAGACATTCCTGACGATGCTGTGTAACGAGATGCCCCTGTGATTGTCACAGCTTTGCCGGTTCCCTTTTCGTTTGTAAAGATGGACGATGGTTGCGTCCATGAAATCCCGATAGACCTGTCCGCAGCGCCACATCTCCTGAAATAACATCGTTAGTTGGTCCATCAGGCGGCGGCGGCGGCCGTCGTGTTTGTAGATTTCAGCTGGGATCGCATCGGAGCCGCGTGCGTTCCTGCCGGAGAAATGTCGCATGGCGCGGATAATTTCAGGGAAAGAGACCTGTTCATGACAGCATCTACATCGGAAACTTGCTTCTTTTGGCTGCCGTCATGACCCGTTCAAAACATCGTGTCTTTTTCTCTGGATACTTTCTTCCAAACCATGCGATTTGGAAGTATTTCACATGAATACATTTGAGATTGGAGTGTAAACACAAAGCATGCTTATAGAATGTGAGAACGCCAGAAGGAGTTACCTCGGCGGCTTTCTTTTTTGCATAACCAACTATTATGAATGGTATATCTTCCGAAGTTGTTTGATCAAAGAAAAGTTGCTGACTCACGTGAAAATCGACATATTTAAGGTCAAATAATCCCAAACTTTCTTCTTCCTCTGTGTCTCGTTTGAACTGACCAGTTCTTCAAGACATATGAGCATGTGTGAATGTATTAGCCCATCTAGGAGTCAATTTTGCAGTTTGCTAGTATCAGGAGTCCACAAGGGAGAATTTCAGTATCGTTTTTGTTTGTTGAGGGGTGCGCCGATCCCCGACCTTTTGTTTGATATTTTATTCACGCTTCCGAGTATCTTACTTACTTAGAGCTACTAAGAGATGTTGTGCCAGCAGCCTTTGATAAAACATCCCCGAGAATATTTCACGACTAACAACCTCAAAGTCTTGCCTTGTTTAATATCCGAGGAAACTAATGCGCGAACTTGGAGTAAATCTTTAGAAGCGGGCTTTTTTCAGGCACGGTCCAAAGCTTGATATGAATATTAAAACTGAAATTAATCAGCTAGTACGGAATAACCGCTTAATATTCACAAACCGCCAGCAGGCAGCCAGTAGTATAGATCTGTGCAATGATTTACCGTACTAACAACACAGATATTAGCTAAAAGCCCAGACACGCGTGTTTCGCCTATCTTATGCCGTTGCCTGACGCAGCTGCGAGGGGTTCGGCTCGTCAGTGTGTCCCCCAGCTTTCCTCGTGTGCTTTCTGGCATATATATGGCGGTTTCTGAATATTAAGCGGTTATTCCACAGTAGCTGATAGATTTCCGCTGAAGTAGTCATATCAAACTTCGGACGGCACCTGAAAAAGGCCCGCTTCGAAAGCTTTACTCCAAGTTCGCGCATCAATTTCCTCGGAAATTAAAAAAGGCAAGTTGAAACTGGAGTTCATATACCAGAAAACACATGGGAGAAAGTTGGGGGACACACTGACGAGCCGAACCTCTCGCAGCTGTGTCAGGCAGTGGCATAAGATAGGCGAAACACGCGTGTCTGGGCTTTTAGCTAATACCTGTGTTGTTAGTACGGTAAATCATTGCACAACCTCAAAGACTGTCGTCCCGTGATTGTTTGAGCGGTTAACTAATAGGGACAGCACCCCATCTCACGATCAAGTACAAAGCCATTAACAGCAAGATAACACGGCATCTTCAGGGATGCAGCCAGTTTCAGTGGCCTGCAAAAACTACAGGCGGATAAGGTCATCCTGCAGGTTAGGCCTTCTTCTTACAGACTGAAAGAAACGCGCCTCTGGCCATCTTTTCCATTGAATTTGTATTTCTTAGTGAGCGACCAGTCGTTCCACGTTCGACTTAACAATAATTGGTATTCTATGATAGGGGGCGCTCACCGATCGTTCTTACGGAACTCACTCGTTCCGTTATGCTTTGCGGGCTCTCTCTGAGCCCAACCAGCAGCCGCACAGCGGCGCATGATATAGGCTGAATGGCATTACCGGCAAGCCTCGGGTGTTCCACACTTCAGGGTTGGGTATGACTGGCTGACGACGCCTAATAAACCAAAAATGGCCATGCCAGTCTCCCTCGGCCCTGTCGGTAATAACATGCTGCCTATATCATTCGCCGCTGTGCGGCTGCTGGTTGGGCTCAGAGAGAGCCCGCAAAGCATAACGGAACGAGTGAGTTCCGTAAGAACGATCGGTGAGCGCCCCCTACCATTGTATATTCCCGACCGAAAGCCGACAGGGCAACGGGCTCTTGGCCCAGTGGTTAGAGGCGTGGACTTCTGGCTAACGGGTCGCGAGTTCGAGCCTCGGGTGTTTTACACTTCGGGCTTGGGTATAACTGGCTGACGACGGTTAATAAGCCAGAAATGGCCATTCCAGTCTCCCTTGTCTTTGACGATAACGCCAATTGGTATTCTGGCCATTAGGTCAAAAGGTCTGAAAGCGTGTGCTATGCCAGTATCAGCAAACCGTGGCCATCGCAGTCTGGTATGCACTAGCAGTTCCCCGACACCTGGTTCCCTGACGGTAGATGCGCTTGCGCTCCCGCAGGGTATACAGGTGGTAGGCATGACAGCCCAGTCACCATCGTCCCTCTGACCCCTGCTGGGGTACTGTTGTTGTTGCTACTGTTGTTGGTCAGAAACCTGATCATTTGCTGTGTGACCAGGGGGTGGGGAGTGGAACGCCAAGGTGCGGGCTCGACCGTGCTATCCACCTGCGCCCTCCCCCCCCCCGGCCGCCTTCGGTCTTCTTGACTCTGTCTTGACACCGGATCCAGGTGGGAAGTGGGGAAGAGAGAGTGCAGTAGATGCTGTGAAAATCTACTACCATTATAAACTAATTCACGCGCAAGTCACCGTGCCTGTTGTAATTAGCTGTGTAGCACATGTAAGACATCGCCAAAATCGAACTGTCGATTCCGCCCATTTCTTCCTACTCATCTCGACTGTTTTAAAAGAGGACTAAATTCATTTTTAACAGCTTTTTTAATAACTGTAGTGCCATTTATAGCCGCACTGACAAATGTACTTCCCGTCTATGTTTAATTGACTTACCAATGCGTGGAAAGCAAAAAGACTGCTAAGATTTTTATTTTGCCATTTGTTGTCACTCGTTCGCCTAATTCTATGATGTCATAATTTTGCAATCATACAAATGCTTTTGAAATTTTCCTTCCTGTTTTGACTTAACTACATTTTTCAGCTACTGAAAGAGGCTCTGCAGATTTAACGCCTCATTTGTTAAGATAATGATTTAAAGTTTTGGATGACGCCATAAAGTTCTATCCCAGTACATTTCAGCAGTTTTTCTAGACAAAGTGATGGGTTCCAACCTCGCTCAAAATTCGAGCTGTAGCGACGGCATTCGAGCCGTTGTGTGCATTCCTTCATTACCTTGGGGAACAAATCTCCTTCACGACAATAACAATGTAAATTTCAGAGAATCCTAAAAGTTTGATTTACGCATTTCAGTATTGTTGATATTATTTAGACGGCCTCTCCTTGCTTATCCATGTTGTAGAAATCAGTGTTTTCTGAGCTTATATTTGCCCAATTTTAGAGCATGATTATCAAATTTGCCCAAAAGGAGCATCTAACATGCGCATCCGTCCGTTATCTTTATTATGGGTTTTGTCCTTATACGTGCATACTGCCGCAGATATTATTAGTTGCGGCACCTCCACCGGTAGTTACGTTTGACTCCTGGCGATAACTCTACTACAAAATGCACCTGACCTGAGGATAACTGCGAAACGAATCAGAATTTCCATGGAGTAAGTTTATTGATCCGGAAAAGCGCAAATCGCTACCATGTGCGGCGTGAGTTAAACCTAAATCCCCAAACGCTTTGGCTGATATCATATTATTAGGCCTCAACCAACCTACCCCTAATCCAGACTTGCTTACGTAGGTTAACTATCACCCCTCCGGAGGTCCCTCAAATTTTAAAATACTGCCGCGCTCAATTCCATCAGCATATATAGTGTTCATTTTGAATGAATGCGCCCAACCCATTCTCCATGTCCCCCCCCTCCGGATAGCCATATGGTCATGGCAAGTGTTCAAGCAGAAGCTCCCGCCAGCTAATTCACGGCCATGTGATCAACGCCTCACCATCGACGAAGCGTGAAAAAGCTCTTTTCTCCTTCGTGAACTGCAATTTCCCCCACTTGCACGCAGTTCGCTTCAATAAACAGCAATTGTCTCATTTTAATTGAGTTTTAATACTAAGCAGATAAACCACCGTTGTCGACAGTTGAAATAAAGCCGTCAAAATTGAATTCATCTCTGTTGCGATGAATAATCAAACATCTGTCCCCCCCCCGCTCCTCAATCGCCGCTAAGAAATGGCCGTGCGACCAGACGTGAGTTGAGTGGTTCGCCGCTTCGACTGGGCAGGGAAAGATCTGCTAACTACCCAAAATTGAATTCGGACACTGATCAACGGAGAACGCACTGCAAGAATTGATAAAGCCTGCCTCCAGCGTCTCCTTTGGCAGTTGACTGTACAACGCAAGTCGGCACTCCAATTGCGAACCTGCCGACAGGGGGCTTGGAAGCCATATCCCCTAACAAATTTGGAGCATGATATACAGGGTGCTCATAATAATAATATAATAATATAATAAATCACGCTGTACGGATGATAGCATCACTTAGTAAAAACCATGTAAAAGTTCGAACCAATCTTTAATTAATTTTTTACTGCAGTACTTGGAGATGACTGGTATCACCGTCTGTACACCATGAATACATTCCTTACCTGACGCATTAATACTGCCGAAATAGCGTTTGTTATTCTGACTCCGAATCTCGCCCGGCGAACCAGGTTTTGTTGCGTAAACAATTGCCACGACACTAACCCACAGAAAAATCTAGTAGTGCTAGAGTATGTGAACGCGGTCCCCGGGGCCTTGGAAATATGGTATTTACATATTCGAGTGCATTCCGTGATAGGGTGTTCTATCCTGCTAGATTCGGTTTCATTTAAAATATTTCGTCTCTACAAATCAGGAATGCAGTAAGTATGCAGCAATGACAGGTGACCTGCTCTATTAATTTCAACCACTGTCTCTTCATTGCTTCCTGGTATCACAGATCAAGGATTGTCAGAAGGCGATCACAGTTCTTTGAAATACTATATCAAAAAACACTGAACTTCTTCGGGGAAAACTGTTTCCAAAAAATAGTATGATGCCATTGTATTAAACGCAGAAAGCCAAAAAGTGGTCGTTTGGGGATTTGCGACTAAAAGGGCAAATAAGAAGCA